AGTATTTGGGCTTGGTAGTCCCATTTTGGAACTGATAAACCCAAGAGTATGATTATAATGGGGGTGTTTGGTGTGGTTTTTTTGAGCCAATTTATAGATTCTAACTTTAGAAAAACTATTTTAGACGGTTTAATTAAATTTATTTCAAACAGCTTTTAACTTTAGCAACTGAACACTTGATCCAAATATTTCAGAGTAGATTTCTCTCTCTCTCTCTCTCTCTCTCTCTCTAAAAACCTCCTCCCTAGGCCTATATTTGGGCCGGCCGGCCGCTACCTTTGGCTATGGCAGTCGGCTGGCCTAGCTCTTTCTGGCGTTTTTTTGTTAGTTTTTTCCTTTAATAAACTTGATTCCCCCATTATTTTCCCACCTAGGTGTGTTTTGTGTGCTGCGGTCGACTTTATTTTTTGGTGATTCGGGGCCCGTTATAGCTTATTCATTGGGGGTAGTAGTGTGTTATTTTCATCAGGGGCCGTCCAGGATCTTCATTCGAGCGCTCTTTTGTGAGTAGGAGCTTGAGGGGTGAACTCTGGTTCAGATTTTTGGAGAAGTATCGATGCTTTGTTTAGGCGGAAACATGGGTGTCGAAGTCGATCCAGATCTGTCTGGTTTTCATTCGTGCGCTCCTCTTCAAGTAAGAGTTTGAGGGGTGAACTTCTTCCAAATGTATAGAGGTGTCCCAACGGTGGGTTGGTGTTTGGTCGGTGTTTGGATCTGTAGTGGGTGTGAGAAAGAAGAAGAACTTGTGGTTTCAAAGATATTCTAGCAGACTCAGCCGAGGCAATGTAATTGGTCGGAGAGGAGTACTGGATCCACCACCACCATCACTGGAGAAGGAGTCAGCGAGCCTATTAGCGGAAGAGATAGCGGTGGCAGTGGGAGTTGCTCTTCCAAGGAGGTAATTAATCAGAGAGATGATCTGTCTACTGCAGCTAATGTTGGAGCTGCAATGTCAAGTTCAAAGTTGCAGCAGCATAGGTGTTGGATTTTTCCGGTGTTGGCTATGGAGTTTTCTCGGTCGGATTAGCAGCATAGGTGTGGGTATTGGGCGTTGTAGCAGCATAGGCGTGGTGTGGGCAGCAGCTTAGGCGTGGGTGGTGTGGGCATTGGGAGTTGTAGCAGCATAGGCGTCGTGTGGGTAGCAGCATAGGCATGGGTGGTGTGGGCATTGGAAGCTGTAGCATCATAGGCGTGGGTCTTGGCAGTGTGGGTTGTGGAAAAGATTTTAGTTTGGGTGGTGTGGGCATTGGGAGGGTAGTAGAAAAGGTGAATAAAATAATTGGGTTGATTAGAGGTGTACAGCAACTTGGGTGTTGGAAAAGAAAATTTCAGTTTGTTGACAAGAGGATGGCAGGACCAGCTTGGGTGATTTGGTGGGTTGATTTTGTGGGGATTCATGTATTTTGTTTTCTAGTTAAGTCCTTCTTAACTTTTTTTTGTTTAAAAAAACCGTGAGGCCAAGGGGTTGGTTGTATGGATGCGAGTAGCAGTAGTAGGGGTATTTTTGTACTTTCCGAATCTCTCTCGATGCATGTCATCTTCCTGTACCTTTAATTTCATGCTGTTAATGAAATTTTTCTTTGCTGATAAAAAAAAAAAAAACTTTAGCAACTGAACTCAAAAAGCAAATTTTGAGAATTGTTTACCTCTCACTTCTGATTATAACAACTTATTTATGACTATACACTTAGATTTTTTTATTTTTTATTTAAAAAAATAGAAAAAGACTAAAATGGATTGTGGATTAGTTTTTTTTTTTTTTTAATAAAAAAATGAGAAATGTGGACCAGTAGTTAATAACAAAAAATAAAAGTTAATCTAATTTACAGCTATTAAAGGTTAATTCAATTTACAATTAACAGGGGTGAAAATGACATTTATACATTAAAAAGTTATTTTACAGCTTATTTACCAAATACTACTCAGTAACTTAAAATTTACAATACAACAGTTACACCAAACAGATTAACAATTTCTGATTAAAATTATAATTTATAATTTGTTAAGTTATAATGTATAATTTTTTTTAATAGTTACACCAAAGAATAATGAAATTATGAAGAGTATAACTACATAAAATAAATATTTTGAATTTTACAATAGAGTAAATAGGGAATGAGTGTGAGAATTTTTATAGACGAATTACACTAAAGGCCTTTATAGTTTAGAGCTGTCACTTTGGTCCTTAACTTTTTAATTGTGACACATTTGACCCTAAATTTTAAATTTTGTTCCAAATAAGGATAATTGAATATACTCTTACTCAATTTCAATGACAAAATCGTTAATTTGATAAAATGTAAACTAATTTGACAAAAATGAATGTCAAAAAATATTTTTAAATTTTTAAAAATTATTTCTACCCACATATGATAAAATTATATAAAATTGATAAATATTTTACACATTTATTTATTTTTTTTACCAAATTAATTTTTATTATGTGTTTGGATGATGATCGTTTAATGGGTAGTTATTTTTATTTTCATTAAATTAGTTTCTATTTCTTCAAAAATCAAATATGGAGATAACTTTGATATTGTTATTAAATCAAATCATTAAATCAAAAAATTGAAAACTAAAAATATTTTATATATTAAATACATCGATTACACATTAAAAGTCTAGTGACCACTCATTACATGATCATCATCCAAACACATAATAAAAATTAATTTGGTAAAATAAATAAATAAATGTGTAAAAGATTTATCAATTTTACATAATTTTATCTTTAGTGGGTAGAAATAAATTTTAAAATTCCAAAAATATTTTTTTGACATTTATTTTTCTCAAATTAGTTTGTATTTTATCAAATTTACAACTTTGCCCTTGAAATTGAGCAATGGTATCTTCAATTGTCTTTATTTGGAACAATATTCAAAATTCAGGATCAAATGTGTCACAATTAAAAAATTAGGGATCAAAGTGACACAAGCCCCAAAATATAGGAACTGTTAGTGTAATTCGCCCAATTTTTATTGAGGGAATTGCACTAATGGTCCATATAGTTTGAGACTTGTGTCACTTCTATTCATAACCTTTCAATTGTAATATATTTAATCCTAAATTTTGAATCTCATTCCAAATAAGGATAATTGAAGATACCATTGCTCAATTTCAAGGGCAAAGTCGTCTATTTAATAAAATATAAACTAATTTGATAAAAATAAATGTCGAAATATTATTTTTGAATTTTTGAAAATTATTTCTACCCACCAAAAATAAAATTATATAAAAATGATAAATCTTTTACACATATATATATATATATATTTTTTTTACCAAATTAATTTTAAGTATGACGAATTACATTAACAGTACCTATAGTTTAGGACTTGTGTCATTTTGGTTTCTGACTTTTCAATTGTGACACATTTGATTCTGAATTTGAATCTTGTTCCAAATAAGGATAATTGAATATACCATTAATCAATTTCAAGGGTAAAGTTATCAATTTGATAAAATGTAAACTAATTTGACAAAAACAAATGTCAAAAAAATATTTTTGAATTTTTAAAAACTATTTTTAACCACCAAAGATAAAAATTATGCAAAATTGATAAATCTTTTAGGCATTTATTTATTTTACCAAATTAATTTTTATTATGTGTTTGGATGATGATCATATAATGTATGGTTGTTAGGTTTTTAATGTATAATCAATATATTTAATATATGAAATGTTTTTAGTTTTAAATTTTTTGATTTAATAGATTGATTTAATAATAATATCAAAATTGTCGCCATATTTGAGTTTTGGAAAAATAAAAACTAATATAATGAAAATAAAAACAACCATCCATTACATGATTATCATCCAAATACATAATAAAAATGAATTTAGTAAAGAAATAAATGTGTAAAAGATTTATTAATTTTACATAATTTTATTTTTGGTGAGTAGAAATAATTTTTAAAAATTTAAAAATATTTTTTTGACATTTATTTTTGTGAAGTTAGTTTATATTTTATTAAATTGACAACTTTACCCTTGAAATTGAGTAATGGTATCTTAAATTATCCTTATTTGGAACAAAATTCAAAATTCATGGTCAAATGTGTCACAATTGAAAAGACAGGGACAAAATAACATAAGCCCCAAACTATAAGAACCGTTGGTGTAATTTGTCCTTTTAAGTATGTTTAGATAATGATCATGTAATGAGTGATTGTTTTTATTGATGTTTTTCAATGGTTATTATGTAATTAGTGGTTGTATTTGTTGTTAACAGATATTTTTGAATAGTTATTATGTAATGAATGATTATTAGGCTTTTAATGTATGAAATGTTTTTAATTTTAGATTTTTTGATTTAATAGATTTGTTTAATATTAATATTAAACTTGTCGCTATACTCAAACTAATTGAACGAAAATAAATATCAAAAAATATTATTTTAAAAAATTATTTTTGCCTCTTCAAAAAATAAAATTATATGAAAATGACGTGTTTTTAATTTTTTTCACTAATTTAATTTTTAGTTTCTTAGAAAATTTTACTGAATATAAATTCTAAAAATCAAACCAAATTAAAAAAAATTCAACATTATTCGTTAAAAAAATGTCACTACATTTCAAACAACATAGAAGTTAATTAACACAAAATAAGTTGTATAATAACTTTAATCTTAAAATTGACCATTTACAAAAGAAACATATTTGATTAGCCTTGTTTAGAATAAGATTTATAATTTAAAGTTAAATATATCAAAGTTTAAAAATTAAAAGTTAAATATATCAAAATTAAAAAATTAAAAATTAAAATGATATAAATTTTAAATAATAAGAATGATTAGTGTAATTAATCCATTTTGGAATGGTGTAAATGGCGACTCCCCTTAAGTGGCAAGAGATGTAAATAAGAAGAGGGAGAAGGGCAGTGAGAAAAGCCAAGACCGCGTCCAAAGGGGTTGCAAGTTGATGATCCCACTTGCAAAGTCCGGCGTAAGCCTGTGCGTTATAAAGATCAACCATACTCTGTGAAGAATGACCATAACTTATACATATTTTACCTTGCAAGTGGACAAAACTGTTCAACAAAATTTCTCTCTCTCTCTCTCTCTCTCTCTCTCTCTCTACATATACATACACCTCTTCATATTATATATAACACCTCACAAACAGCTTATTTCCAACCTTTTTTTTTTTAATTTTTAGAGAGAGAAAAGAGATAGGAAGAAGAAATGCCTACGTCTCTGCAGCTTCACAGAATCAACACCACCTACCCCACCACCACCTCCGCCGCCGCCTCTGCTACCACCGGCAGCGACATCAATTGCAACAAAAACTCCCAAACCAGTATATGGCGAGTTCACCCTTCGATCTCCGTCCCTGACGACGCCAACCACTACCACACCCACGCCGTGGGCCCCAACCAGTGCTGCTCCACCGTCGTCCAAACCATCGCCGCCCCCGTCGCGGCCGTCTGGTCCGTCGTCCGCCGCTTCGATAACCCCCAAGCCTACAAACACTTCCTCAAGAGCTGCCATGTCATCGTCGGCGACGGCAACGTCGGCACTCTCCGGGAAGTCCACGTGATTTCGGGCCTCCCGGCGGAGTCCAGCACCGAACGCCTCGAAATCCTCGACGACGAGAGACATGTCATCAGCTTCAGCGTCGTCGGCGGTGATCACCGACTCAATAATTACCGCTCCGTCACCACTCTCCACCAATCGCCGACCGGTTCCGAGACAGTTGTTGTCGAATCATACGTCGTTGATGTACCGCCCGGTAACACGAAGGACGAGACCTGCGTGTTCGTTGACACTATCGTTCGGTGTAACTTGCAGTCACTGGCTCAGATCGCCCAGAATTTAGCGAAAAGTAACTGTAAATCGTCATGAGATTTTCGTGATTTTTGGAAACCAGAAATGGAAATTCGTGATTAGCTTTGCTTCTGAGATTCAAATTTGTTAAAGGTGACACAGTATATGATATTATGGTTGGTTGTATTTTTCTGTGCAATCTGTTTTTTTAAAAATGTGCCTGCGTTATTGTCACTGTCACAGACTCACAGTGATGTCTAATGTTTTTCATTTTATTTTTCTTGGGAATTTTTTTTTATATAATATATATACATTGTGAACTCTGTCCCAAGTTTATTTCATCATGTTCCTTGATTTGTTGGATCTCTATCTTTGTATATGTTGGGGTATATATATTTGAGATATTTCTTGAACATCAATAATTCACACTCATGCATGCATTACTTCTAGAAAGATCATTTACAAATAATTTTTTTTTTTGTAAATTTAACTTATATTCTGTGTTTTGGTTTGAAATAAATAATACAAATAATTATGTGATTTTGTATTAAAGTCATGTTTGTATGTCATTATTTTTTAGGAAAATGATATATAGTGAGTGTTTGAGACGTTAGTTATTTTAGTAGGTTATTTTAATTTTTGACTATTTTCGTAGGTTAAAATTTTTTTGTTTGGGAAGATGAATGGATTTTTTTAAGTTAGATGTGATGTTCGTCAGAAAAAAAAAGTGAAATGATTATGGATTTGATGTGACATTTTGTCTTATTTATTATTTTAGCATATTTTATCTTTTTTTTTGTAGATTTTAGCCCAAAAAGCAAAAAATAACCTTTGCCAAACAAATCATAAGTCCACTTTTTATATTCAAGAATTTAATTATCAACCAATCATATTCTTTATACATCACTTAATCTAGAAAGTGGGTTTAATTTTTGAATCTGAATAACAATACTCTTCTTTTTAATAGTGTTATCGAATTAATATGATGTTCCTTGCACTACAACAAAATACAGAGTGTTTTAGTCGCCAAAGGCATTCGCGACCGTTTATTGGCGACAACACGGGCGACTAAACTTTTTAGTCGGGAAAAGTGAAATTCTGACATTTGGCGACTAAAATAGGACCTTTGGCGACTAAAAATTTAGTCGCCAAAGGTATTAATATGATGTTCCTTGTATATATCTTATATGTAGTGTATGTGTAAATAAAATGTGCCTACTAGTACAAATTTTTCAATTTTGCAAATTATGATATTGTTTTGTACAAAGGAATTGCCCTTTATTTAATTTAGTGAAATGTTACGTGCTAAAAAATTTAAATTAAAAAATTCTGTAAATTAAATTTATAATTTAAATTTAGATTAAATAGTGGTAAGTCACACCCAAAATAAATTAGATTACATATTTCAAATATTGAACACTTTTCTAAGTACTCAACAATATTGTTTGCTTTAATATTTTTCACTACAAAAACCAATGTGTAGGGAGTCTAAAGGATATGTATTAACTATTCATATTTTAGTTATTCATACAACAACAATAATAATCAATTAATTTTTAGATATGATGATATTTATATATTTGACAACATAGTTGAAAATATCTTTCACATTATATATGTATATGTACACACATCTTTATATGGTATCAATGATTACTTCATTTTGAGGATATGAAGTCATTATGTGTTTGATACCCTAGATGTGATATTGAGATCTTTCATTGAATACCTAGTGGCAATGTGCTCTTTTACATGTACTTGCATGAAAAATAAATAGCAATATTAAACTTGTTAATAAATGCTATTGATATTTAGGTCAAGTTTGGGAACTTGTAAAAAAATCAAAAAATTACTCAAAAAGTTAAAAAGTTAACACTATTCACTAAAAGTCAACAATTACGGCTGCACAACACCAAAAGTCAACAGTTACGGCTGCACAACTTCCAATCTTAATTTTCCTCTACAAATCAATATTTACAATTTTTTATTACACATTTTTTCATAAAAAGTTAAAAAATTAACCCAAACATCCATATTTTCAATCTCAATTCTCAATTTTTTAGTCTAAAAAGACAAAAAATACACTTATTTAAGACACCCCAAACAACTCCTTAATTTTTCATTGATTCGGAAGATGGATGGGTTTTGGTGCTGTCAAATAGTGCAGCATTAGTTATTTATTATTACTCAAATTTCTTATATTTTCCTTTATTTTATTTTTGCATCAAAATGTCAAAGAGTTTGCATAGATGAATGCTTTTAAAAATGCTAAATTCAAATGGAAGAACTTTAACTATTTGTTTAAAATTTTTAACAAAAAATTCTTTATTGATGTATGTTTGTATCTCCATCTGTACTTTAGTCATCAATAAAGTTTATTTTTTTGCTAATAAGAAAAATAAATATGTTTTTTTATAACTATTTTAACCATCAACCATTTGTTCAAAAATCATATGCTAACAATGTATATGTGATCTCTACAATTACCCTCACCAAATAGTGGTATCATATTTTTACAAAAAATTAAACTACATGGTCGATTCATAATTGTACCAATGGTGATGCATAAGTGCAAGAAATTAATATTTCAACCGTATTAAGAATGAATAATGATATATATTTATGGAGGTCCATATTAATAAATACACATGAAATCATTATCTTTATATCTACTGTAAAAAATTGAACACAACTTGTTAGGACCAGACGAGTGCTTGATGGGGTCTTATGGCTCATTATAGGCCTCACATTGTTTTATCCCTTCGTTCTACCCTCATGTCCCCTTTTATAATGTTGAATGCCATTATTTGGTCATCTATCTCCACACAATGTTTTCTTCAAAATGATCTTGCTACTTCAACTTTCTCAATTCTTAGCATGACACCATTTGCCATCAAAGAGTCTGTCAGGACTGATTGGCGACATACTCTCTTACTACTGATCTATAGTTTAATTTTATTAGTGACTAGTGGTTGGCATACGCCATGTGTGTGGTATTCAAATAAATAAAAATAAAATAAAATACTTATTATATATCGTGTACTGTTGAAATGGTAAGAGTCTTCTTTATTTGATCTGATGTTTTAAGGTTCAAGTCTCACTCCTCTCATCTATTTGATTTATTTATTTATTTTAAATAGAAAAGAGTGGATACTTGGCAACATAAGAAGCCAATGCTTTAGGACACTATAAGGGGTGTTCACTTTATATATAGTATAGTATAGATAGATAGACAAATATTCAATTGATCAGCAATTTTGGTCTTCATATCCCGACGAGTCTAATTGGTGTACTCTTCCTGACATAAGATATTATCATGGGTCATCTATTATTGTGGGAACATAATTTTGGATTATTCATGTGGCCTAAGTGATTAGTCGAGGTGCCACGTTGGTGATTTTGATTGGTCGACATGTGGTCAGACCACATCTGAAAATTGAGATGTTTGGATAAAGATTAGAGTCCTAGATGATGATGGGCTCTTTGTCAGGATAGGTGAGGATTGATGAAAGAGTTAATCCTCATCCTAATTGGAGGAGTTCTTAATAAGTGATATCCTATAAAGGATAAGAGTCCTATGAGACTTCTAAGGGATGAGGGCACTAATGATTATAAAAGGTATGCACCCCATGGGTATAAGGTACGCTTTATTTGATGTTTTAATTTGTGAACTTTGTGATTAGGTTGTTTACTAGTGTCGATATCTTGTGAGGTAAGTTGACTGATTTGATCGTTGGAGTGCCCCCGGATGGAGGAGCCACCAGTGTTTTTTGTCTTCTTGTGTGCAGGTGTTTGGCTTCTTTATTCTTCTGTGTGCTCTACGGCTAAGTTCCTTAGATCACGGTTAGGAGATCTAGTTCGATTGCGAGGTCAAAAATCAACACTCACAATTTGGCGCCATCTATGAGAACTTACTCCAAATAGATGGCCAACATCGTGCAAGATCAATATGTTGGTGACGACAAGTCATGATATCAGTCGGAGGAGCACCCTCTAGCATGTTGTGTAGCCGACATGTTGGGAGGTCTAACAATACAAGTTCCATCACCTTAGTATGATCGAGGTAATAGAACCTAGAGGCAGTTGTGGAGACATAATTTTGGGTTATCTACGTGGCCTAGGTGGTTAGCCAAGGTGTCACTTGGGCAATTTTGATTGGCCAAGGTATGGTTAGACTACATCTAAATCCAAGATGTTTGGATGAAAGGCTAGCGTCCTAGATGATGATGGGCTCTCTGTTTGGATAGGTGAGGACTATTGAAAGACTTAATCCTAATCCAAATTGAAGGAGCCCTTGATAAGTGATATCTTATAAAGGATAAGAGTCTTATGAGATGAGACTTCTAGGGGATGAGGGCATTGATGATTATAAAAAGTAGGCACCCCATGGGTGTAAAGGTACGTTTTTTCTGATATTTTACTTCGTGAGTTTTGTGATTGAGTTGTTTACTTGTGTCGATATCTTGTAAGATAAATCGATTGACTTGATCGTTGAAGTGCTCCTGGGTGGATGAGCCACTGGTGTTTGTTGCCTTATTGTATGCAGGTGTTAGGCTTCTCTATTCTTCCGTATGCTCTACGGCTAAGTTCCTTAGATCATGGTTAGGAGATCTAGTTCAGTTGTAAGGTCAAAAATCAACACCTACAATTTGGCACCATTTGTGAGAACATAGTCTAAATAGATGGCCAAGATCATGCAAGATCAGCATGTCGGTGACGACGAGTCATGATATTGGTCGAAAGAGCACTCTCCAGCATTTTGTGCAGCCGATATGTTGGGAGGTCTAACAATATAGGTTTCATCACCTTAGTATGACTGAGGTAATAGAACCTAGAGGCAGTTGTGGGGACATGATTTTGGGTTATCCATGTGGCCTAGGTGGTTAGCCAATGTGCCACTTGGGTAATTCTGATTGACCGAGGTGTGGTCAGACTACATCTAAATCCAAGATGTTTGGATGAGGGACTAGAGTCCTAGATGATGATGGGCTCTCTGTTTGGATAGATGAGGACTACTGAAAGACTTAATCCTAATCCAAATTGAAGGAGTCCTTGATAAGTGATATCTTATAAAGGATAAGAGTACTATAGGGGATGACGGTAGTGACGATTATAAAAAGTAGGCACCTCGTGGGTGTAAGGTACGCTTTATCTGATATTTTACTTTGTGAGTTTTGTGATTGAGTTGTTTACTTGTGTCGATATCTTATAAGATAAATTGATTGACTTGATTGTGGGAGTGCTCCCAGGTGGACGAGCCATCGATGTTTGTTACCTTCTTCTGTATATGTGTTAGGCTTCTCCATTTTCCTGTGTGCTCTATGGCTAAGTTTCTT